GAGAGCGATAGAGAGAGAGAGCGAGGAGCCTGCGGACCTGGTCAGTTACCTGATGCTAACACCACCCAGAGAGAACGAGAGAGAGACAGAGAGAGAGAGCGGGGGCAGAGAGAGAGACAGAGAGGACAGAGAGAGATAGAGAGAGAGAGAGAGAGGACAGAGAGAGAGAGCGAGGAGCCTGCGGACCTGGTCAGTAACCTGATGCTAACACCACCCAGAGAGAGCGAGAGAGAGACAGAGAGAGAGAGCGGGGGCAGAGAGAGAGACAGAGAGGAGAGAGAGAGCGAGAGAGGACAGAGAGAGAGAGACAGAGAGGACAGACAGAGAGAGGACAGACAGAGAGAGAGAGCGATAGAGAGAGCGAGAGGGCACAGAGAGGACAGACAGAGGACAGAGAGGACAGACAGAGAGAGAGACAGAGCGAGAGAGACAGAGCGAGAGAGAGAGCGAGAGGGCACAGAGAGAGACAGAGAGTACAGACAGAGGACAGAGAGAGAGAGACAGAGAGGACAGACAGAGAGAGGACAGACAGAGAGAGAGAGCGATAGAGAGAGAACTCCGGTTGTACTGAATGTATATAATATATATAAAGTCTAGTTTATTTGATACAGTTGATGCGTAGTCACGTGTGTGGTGATGTAGCTTTAAGAAAAAACAAACTGGTTCCTACAAGGTTCACATGTGGAACCAGCTCTGAACCAGTTTGACTTTGGTGGAAGTTTTTTTTCAACCTGTTGATGTTTTATTGACGTCATAGGTAAACTGAGCAGCTGTACACCACAGATCCGTGTTAGATGATGTCACATTCACCTGTTTTACCTGCTGCAGGTGAGGAAGACGAGGACAGTGATGAAGGCAGTGATGAAGACGAGTCATCAAAATGTGAGAGACAATGTCCAGCCAAAAGACTTAAACCATGAAGCACCCAGGACTCTGTCTGAGACATGATGACGTCACAGGTTTACCTGTTTGAACTGTGGATGATGATGTCAGGTGATCAGTCATATGACTGAGTAGAAACATAAATAAAGCTGTAACAGGTGTCTCAGGTAAAGAAAGGGTTTGCTAAAAGGTCTGCTTCTTCTCCTACGAATCAATCGCTGCCTGATCCAGAATCAGTCCTGAGTGGACATCCTCTTTCTATTGGTGAGGACAGATGGGGACAGGTGAGAGGGAGCAGCTAGAAACAACTCTTTGTCTTCCCTCAGTCGTCACTTCAATAAAATGAAAAAAACAAAGCGAAGTTTCAACTTTTAATTTGTGTTTAGAGTTGTCATGGTAACCAGCATGTGATGTAACTCATGTTATTATAGAAACATACCACAAGCTCTGTTCAAAAAATGTACCTGCAGTAACCATGGCAGCAGTAACCATGTTTCAGGTGACCGGTTAAAGTAGGTGTGGTTACTGGATGTGCTGCTGCCCCCATATTCAACACCCTCCAGCCAATCACAGCCCGGGGCTGTCTGTGATGTCACAACAAAACAACAAGTGAACGATTGACAGTTGCAGACTTGAGGTCCTGTCAGTCGACACTGAGGGCAGCACTCACTGCTCCTGTCAAGACAGGGTGGAGGGTTAAAGTCCAATGGGAATGTTACAGTTCAAAAGGCACACAGGAAGTGACATCACATGCAACACAACAGTCCAGAGCCACTGCGGCCTCTCCGATTTGTCCTCTCTATGTGTCAATCACTGACCCTGCCCTGTGATTGGTCGGTCTCTGGGTGGCGTGGCGGCGACTACACAGCAGGGCGATGCAGACAGGAAGTACACAGTAACCGACGGCACGGGGGTCAGCTCGCGTGCACGAGAACAGGAAAAGGAAGAGCTGGAGGTACGGCAGCAGGAAGACCGACGCCCATATCCAGACAGGAAGTGACAGCAGGTGAGACCAGGTGAAAGCAGAGGGTGGAGCTGAAAGACTGACGCCACCTCCCTGCACACGCTCCAAACTGAGTGTGTGCACCTCAAAGACATAGTACACCACCATGATGCTGAGCAGCAGGTAGAGAGCCACGCCCACCCATCCCATCCTCTGACGGAAGTTCATCATCCTCCATACTGTTGACAGATAATCAATTACAATTATCAGTACAAGTTTATCAATATGAGCTTTATTAGCATTAACTTTATCAACACTGACTTGAATGACATTAACTTTATCAACACTGACGTTATAAACAATGACTTGATTGACATTAACTTTATAAACACTGACTTTATCAACACTGACTTGATTGACATTAACTTTATAAACACTGACTTGATTGACATTAACTTTATTAACATTCACTTTAATATTAACATTGAATGTGACCTGAAACTTCACTGAAGCAAAATCACTTTTCACTGAATGTCGTATTGTTTTGCATTGAGACGTTTGGCCTGTCTGCAGTCTGTTCATCTGTTAAGATTCCTCTTTATTGTTCCACACACAGCAACATGCAAACATCTCTGTATGTAACCCATCCATGTGAACACGGAACATACAGAACACAATCCACACAGTGACAACACTGGGAGCTCAGTGCTTGCTCAAGGGCACCTCGGCAGTGCCAAGGAGACGAACTGGCACCTCTCCAACTTCCGTCCATGCAGGACTTGAACCGGCCACCCTCCGGTTCCCAAGCCAAGTGTCTATGGACTGAGCTACTGCCTCCCCCTGTTAGCAGCCTGTTAGCAGCTTGTTAGCAACCTGTTCATATGTTAGCAGCTTGTTA